TTCTTTCTAATAAGTCATGGTAAATAGTTTATATTACATATAGTTCCTTCTTTCTAATAAGTCATGGTAAATAGTTTATATTACTGTTGCGTCAGCGAGTCACATGACCACTGTGGCGCCCTCTAGTTTCTAGAACTATCTTGTTCTTTCAGGAATGCTCTAGTAATTGCTAGATATAGGGTAGGCTGGTATATAAAAGAGGGGAATGTAATGTGTGCGTAGATAGTGAGTTATTGAACTGCAGTCAGAGAGCACGAGAGACGTTACAGCGTTTGTTTAGTGCGATTGTTGAAGTTGAATGTATCGGTAAAGTTATATTTGGAAAGAATAAACCAGTTTTTATTAAGTAAGGACTTGTGTCGTTAAAGTTTCGTCGCAACGAAGTTACGGAAAGTTAATTAACAAACCGAGACGTAACAATATATATATATATTAGTTTTTTAACTTTGTGTTTTGGAGTAAAATTCTTCCATATGCAAAGAACCATTTTTATTAAGCTAAAGACAACACTAAATATACTCTGTTTTACTGTAATACCTCAGTGACATGATTGAAAGTATTGTGTTTGTTGAGAAATAGCGATTAGTAACAACATTGTGTATACTTAATTTTCCTGAATCTATGTGCAAAACAGAAAAATAGGTGATTGCATTGATTATGTTATTAAAATGGAGATTGGTTAACTGTAAATGATTGTAATAGCAATTCTGATTGCTAACATTTTTTATGGGGGGAAATATTATAAGTTCTTCATTGGTAGCATTAATTTTTTTAAATTACTTCCTTATCATAACAAATAGGATTTTTGTTATCTTATAAAGTAAGTATAGATTTTATTTTAACAAGTACCCTCTACACAACATGTCAATTGTCAAAATTGTGAAACATGTATAGGCCATGCCTTATCTGGTCTAACTTAATCAACCACCCACTCAATATTCTACTTTTACATGGTAAACAGTTATCTTTTCACAAAGGGATTCAAAGGTCTTCATTTTTTTCTGTAATTCATTGATTTAATAGGTAGTATTGAAGTTGATAATTTAGTAGGTTGTGGTTAATAAAAAAAATGTTTACTGTGCATAACTCAATGTGGATAGGTTATTTCAAATATATATAACACACTTTTGCAATTTTATTGGTTCATGTTGGTACACCATTGATGATTGGTATAAAGTTATCAAAATATATTTGATCTTGTTTCATAACTGAAACATTGTTAATACCTAGTGATTCATGTTTTAGTTAAAAGTTTTGTAGCTAGATCTACTCAAGGGCTAGGAGTGGTCTAGTGATTAGTATGTCAAACTTTGTATCTGAGTGTCCATGTTCCACTGCTGAAGCAAAAAAAGACAATAATACTCTCCACTTTGGGACCAAGAAGAAAGTTCAAGAGTTGGCATTGGGTGTTGTTGACTAGCCGCCTAGATTCTAGTTCATTAGTTCAAAATACTGTTATGTCTCCGTTTGTTAATTGATTTTCCGTAACTTCATTCCGACGAAACTTAAGCGACACAAGTTCTTTCTTAATAAAAACTGGTTTATTCTTTCCGAACATAACTTTACTGATACACTCAACTTCAACAATCGCGCTAAACAAACGCTATAACAACGAACGTGCTCAATAATACTTCTGACTGCAGATCAATTACTCACTGTCTACACACATTTCATTTCCGCGTCACGTTGTCCCCCTCTTTTATATACCCGACTACCCTATATCTAGTAAATACTAGAGCATTAGCCAAAGTACAGGATAGTTCTAGAAACGTGGCGTCACAGTAGTCATGTGACTCGCTGACGCAACAATACAAACAAAGATTTATTCACACCTATACCAGGTGTTTCAAATAAATATTATTTTGTGTAATAAAGGATTTTAGAGACTCGGTGCTTGTGTTGTAGTATAAGTCTATCCAAGCCTTGACACAAGTGTTATGTATAGATCTGTGTTAGGCTTGGCCCAGTATTCAGGTATTGTGGTATAGATCTGTGTGTCTCTTGGTCCAGTATGTAATTGTTGTAATATAGATTTATGCAGTTCTTGACACAGTGAGAAAGACAAGGGTTTGTGATGATGCATAGACGTATCCAGAGCTTGTCAGTAAAGTGCATGGTTTTATATTATAGATCTTCTCATATCTTGACCATGTGCTACCATTGATATAATTTTCTGTTGATGAAATGGCCACTCTTGGTATCAAATTACCTCTTCACTAAGTTTCACTTTGAGGTTATTGTGCTTGGCAGTTAATTATGAACTTTATATATTTTTTGGATCACAGGAAATGATGCTAAGGAGGACCCTGGGTGAAGAAAATTCCGTTATCCCAAAATCTCCACCAGGAAACACTGTGGATATGATTCCTGTTTGTACATCTGGCATAGATCCATTTCTGGGAAGTTCCAATCAACATGCCCGTCAGGGGAGTGAGGACAGTGGGCTTGGACTTGGGACCAATTACAGTGTACCTCACACCCCTGAGAACTTCCTAGGAAGTTTAGAGGATGTAATGGATGGTGGAGGTGAGAATTTACTTATAGGTTCAAATGACATTTAGAAGGTGATATCCCTCTGAATAACCACGTAGTATTGGCAATCAGTCATTGGATGAATTTTAGTTTTAAAATACTGTAACATTTTGTTTCTCTGTCAAAGAAAACTGTGTGATAAAATCTTGAAATAAAAAGAAATTGCTATATATTGGAAAGAAATTTTCTGAACAATATTTTGGTTACATGATAAAAGTCGTATTGTCAGATGATGACCATATGTTCATTTTTTTTTTTGCCTTACAGTATCTTTAATCATTTCAATCCTTTGTTTTAGCAGAAGAAGAAAGTCAAGGAAAACACACAAGTTACTTGTAATAGATAAATCAGTAAAAATGTTCTTAAATGATGAAATAAATAAAATACTCATTAATTTGAGATTTTAAGCTAGTAAAACAAAAGTTAATTCTTTATAGACATTGGGCAACAGGCAGGAGGTGACATCAGCATGGAAGTGCTACAGAACACAAACCTGAACCTAGGAAGTGACACTATGGATTCTGATGATTTAGTACCCAGCATACAGGTAGGTTTAGTAGCTAATCATGTGAAAAGTTTAACATTTGATATTCAAAATAAAAACTTTTCAGACCATAGTGAAAATCATCAGTTCTTGAACTTAGGAACTGACACTATGGATTCTTATGATATAGTACCCAGCATACAGATAAGTTTAGTAGCTAATCATGTGAAAAATTTAATATTTGATATTCAAAATAAAAACTTTCCAGACCATAATGAAAATTATTTTATTGTTAATACTTATAACTGACTTGATATTAGGTTTTCTTTAGTTGAAGTAGTTGTTTATGGTTTATTGGCACTTATACATTTTAGTTTAAGGTGTATTTATTGGAAAAACAACAACAAACAAACACACTTTGTTTTCACATTGTTTAACAATCTCTTAAAAAGTAGTACCTCATTATAATTTTCCTGACCTACGAGCTTCTCTTTATTGTTCTTAACAGCTACCTGAATGCACCTAGAAATTTATTATGAAGTAATTTAAACTGCTATTGGGACAATTTCAATATCAGGATTTTTTAGTTTATTTTAAGTACCAATTACCGTGCTGAGTATACTCACAGAAAAGTCCTCATCAAATATAGTACATAATATTGCCACACATCCAGTTACTGAATCCAAGTATGGTTAAATGTAATCGTGATCACTATTTAGAAAAGAAAGGAGAATGGGGATATATAAAAAGTCAGGAACCATAACCATTATTAACTGGCAAAAATAAATGTGTATGTTGAAATTAAATCAGAAACATTTGGTTTTTGATATATCTTGCATTTTGCTTATAAAATTTAATCTTTGACAAACATTAAAGAATGTGAAACATGAAAAGTGTGTGTGCACATGCATATACATATATATATACATACATATAAATACATACAAACATTTCATGTATTCCAAGTTTACTTAAATCTATAGTAACTTAAAAATATGGTATTTTCAAAACTTGTAGTTTTACGTATTAGTTAAGTGTTCTAACCTGTACAAACTGAATGTCTGTAGGTAGATGTATGTTTTAGCTAAGTGCTCTAAATTTAATTAAATCTTGCAATAAAAAAAATATTCCAGTATCAAGACTGTTTGTAGGGAGATGTTAAAAAGAACATGGGCCCAGGGGAGGTTCAGACCCCTTAACTAAGAAAATTCCTAAGAACCCCCTAGCTACATGAAACAAGGGGGTAAGGGGAGCTGAAATAATATTATAGGATAGTTTAAAGTTTGTGTATCAACTTCAATGAGAAGCATTACCATTATACACAAAAACTGGCTTACACAATTGCAGCTATATATCCATAGTTAGTTGGATTTGCGAGTGATGGCCATGGTAAATCTTTTACCTTCTGACACAAAGTTGTCCAAGATTATAGGACTCTAGTTGATGTCAAACTGATGTTCTCTAATATACAGCATATACTGAGTAAAATGTTGTACTGAATAGTTCATGTTTTAGAACTTTATAAAAGCAATGACGTAAAGGGCTGGACAACCCCCCCCCCCAACTTCCAATTTTCACTTTAATCACTGTCTGTTTTTATGTATACGTTTCAGCTAAAGAATAAACACTGCTAACAGGCAAGGATGCCATAATAATTACCTAAGGTAGAGTGGACATATAGGATTTTTGTTGTTTGCCTGTCACACATAATTAAGTCTAATTATTATTAATTGTAATTTTTATTGAAGATTTTTAGCAACTCTTCAGGTTGAAGTTATTACATTATTCTAACTTTACATAAAACTGGCAGTATAGAAAATGTACCAGTGCCAAATCTGTCTGTATTTATGTATATGTTTTAGTTAAGTGTTTGCTTCAGTTTTGCAGGGTAGAAAATATGCTATTACCGAAACTTACTATTTTTAGTTCCAAGCTAATTGTAAGTATGTTGTCTCATTGGTTCTCTTCTACTTAGGAAGAAATCACAGAAGAACTGCTCTCTGATATGGAGTCTCTTCTGACCTCTAACAAAGACAATGTACTGACATGGCTGTAATTTCAAACAACCTTAAAAGTGAAGTAACCAGGTCAGGAGTTTGGTGACTTCTTGCCAATGTTCTCATAATGCAAGAACTAAGGATAGATAGTTCTTAAACGGTGCCTTCAAAACTTGTGTCATTTTCATGTAGTCATAACTTCAGATATATTTAACCTCTGGATGTAAAACCACATGACCCTCTAAGCATTATGGCTACAGAGTGCAAGCTTTCTGTTCATTGTTGTATCATTTGTTCACTGGAGAAAACATATTTCATTGTTGTTGTTTTTTTCATATAAAGTATGTTTCTCTTTGAAACTTATATCATGAGTTAGCAAAGGATTAATTTATATGTCAAGACTTTTTTTTGTTTATTACAAGACACATATACTGTTATTCATTGAGTAATTTTGATCTTTGTTCAGTAAATTGAAATTAATGTGGTCCAAAGTCTTAGCATATATATCATTTAATCAAAACGATTGTAATATTAAAGTAACAAACTCTGAATTAAATATTAGATATGCTGTAACATATATATATATATATATATTCATATCAATATTCAATTATATGCTAAAGAAAGGTTGATATGCGTGTATCAAAGCAATAAATGTAATATCTTTATTGAAATAATACTGATAAATGTATTCTAATCTAGGTTTTTTCAAGTATTTGTTGTAGAGAGTACAAACGTTATGTATTAAATACACAGGGATCCAAGTAAAGACTGATTACTACTTTACAACTAATACTACAGGATTCAATGTTACTGTCAAATATATTGTTACCTTAATCTGAATTTTGAGACTACAAAATGGAATGTACTCTTTGGTGCACATAATTTCATGAAATATGAAAATTATCCTTTCTGAATGGTTAAATTCGTTGGAAGGGTTATGTGTTTGCACTAAGAAGTTAATGCTGTTTTATAGTTTTTAGCTGAAGAGATTTTTACAAATATAATTTTTTTTATATTAAAAACAATAGCTACACAAACAATGAAGATTCTTTGTCACATTGTTTAAGTGTACTGTGCCTTGAATTATCAAATCATCTTTGGCTTCCTTAGATATGCCTTATTCAACATAGTATTCAATTGTAATATAGTATACTGTGTAATATATGCCAGTTTTAGATTCCATTCATGGTAATGAATACTTACACCTTTAAATGGTACATGTTCTCATACTTGTTCTCTTCTTTGTTTATAATTTCTGGTAATAATTAATTAGTATTTTCTTTTTTCATATTTCAGTCAATATATTATGAACATCCTTAAAACTAATTTAATTTTTATCATTGATAAACCTTTAACCAGTCTTCACTAATTACATAAGAAGCATTGCACTAAATACATGCATTTTCCATATAGTTTACTGTATTTTTTAAGTTACACAAAAAGCAGCATCAGATTCTAATTTATTTTCTTCTGTTCAAAATTATTGTACACCTTCTCCGTGCTGTTATTTTGTCTTGTTACTTTTTGTGTGTTCCTTTTACTTAATCTTTTCCCTATGTGGAAGATACAGACAAAATTTTTTCCTTGTCAGTGTGTTTCTGCCATAATTTAGGGTCTGGGACTTCAGTTCAGTTTTTTTCTCTGTTTACTACTTCTACAGTTTCACATATGTAATTTCATATATTTACCTCTGAGATTTCTTCTGCTGTTGTATGATGTTCTGTACTGACAGTACAGTTTGTCTCAAGTAGATTCCTTCTCTTCTGTCACAAATTATGGTCCTTTTCACTGCATTTGAAGCCATGTGCCATTTCTTTGAGAAATGGTCCTGGTTCTTGTTCTATTTTTTACATCTATGCTACTGCTCAACTTCCAAGATCTTTACATCTTCATGCTAGTTTGTCGTCACAGTATTCTTCACCTTAGCTCTTTCTACTCAACTGTCTCTTTGACAGGATCATTCTCCAACTTCATTCAATGGGAGTTATTTGGATGTTTCTTCCAGAGCCAAAATCCTCTCTTTTGGTTCAGTTTTTTATGCTTTCTTTTTCAAAAGTTCCACATGTAGGGCCAAGAGTTATGGTTTTGGTGACCCAAATGCCTCACCATTGGTATGATGTTCTTTAGTGGATGAACAGTTAGATTGGTTCATTACCTGGAGTTTACAGATCTGTTCTCATTCTTGTAAGATGGTTTTATATAATCTTGGATTTCACTTTCGTTTTTTGGTCTAACTAATTTTATTTATTTCTTTTTGATTATTTTTAAGTCTTTTCTCACTTGATCAAGCAGAAAAGCAGGGTTCCAATGTCAGTTTATTTATTTTTTATAATTACCTGTTCAAGGCATCTAGTCATACAAATTACAGACTTATCCCTTCTCATCTATTTACTATGTCTTAATGTAGGTGGCTAAACCACATCCTAGCCATGACACTAGAAATATAAATTTTTTCTTCTCCATTTTCTTCCAGATGTAAAGTATTAAATATTAGTACTTGCCCTTAGCAAAATAGGTGATTTGCACATATTAAATTAATATGTGTATATTATAGATTTCATTATTGGGTAATTACTGACTTATACAGAATGATCCTCTCCTCTCTTTTTTGTCCCATCAAATCTTCTTTATCGGTTAAGTTTCAAATTCATGTTTTTATTTTTTAATAAAAAGATTTGTTTTTTGCAATACTGCAGACCACATATATCTTGATAATGCACTTGTCACATATGCTGCTCCACCTTTATATACATTTTATATTTTAAAGAGTTGTAAGTTATGAATTGGCCTACAAGAGATTGGACTTTGCTTGCCATTACAGCAGGCCAATACTAAAATGATTAGGTTTCCAATTACTAATTTATAAATCACAAATTCTTTAAATAAAACAATTATATTTGAAATAGTTTACAGAAATTTGGATTCACCACAAACTTTTCACATATGCAGGTTCTGACTAACCTCATATTCTAAAAGATTCTATTGTAAATACTTAGTTCATTGAGTTTCTCTTGAATCAGATTCTTTTTAAGTACTCTGAATTGAACTGGCCTTAAACTTAGATATTTTTCATTCAAAGAACTCGTTCCTTGGCCATGTTTAAAAAATAAAATATTACATGGCTGGTTAACAATAGCAACATCAGATGTTATAGTTTATACAAAAACTATGATTTCATAATGTATTTTAAAATCTGAAATCTTTAATTTTCTGTACAAGGAGAAATACCCCCCCCCCACCAACAATACAGTTCATACCTCTGAAATCAGGGGATTTTTACATCATGGAAAGTTATAGTAGGTGAAGTAAATGAACATCAAGGTTGAAACATGCCATTGAGTACTACTTTCACTCTGGTACGCTTTATTTTCCAATAAAAAGTTCATCTATTAATAATGATGCACTGCCTATTGACAAAACTAGGGTGAACTGTTGCAACTTTCAGTCAAATTCCGAAGATCATATTAGCTTCACTCTTATTTTGGATAATATAATTCTTGTAATGGTGTTAGAACCTGTAATTAATTAGCATGTGTAAAATAGTAGATTGTAGAGCATATTTTTTATAACTAGTTTGTTTTAGCAAGTTTATTAAACATTTGTGCAGTGTTTTACTATTACTTGCAAAATATAACACTTTACAACATAGAGGAACTAACCTTGTCTTGTTAAGTAGCACTGCTTTGGGCTTATTATTCATACTGGTATTTTACAAATATTGGTGGAAAGTGTACCAGTTGATATGATTGTATATTCTGAGTTTTGTGATAAAGGTAGACATAGAAATATTTAAAGAATACCATGTGTAAAAATAACAAAACAGAAAAATAAGATATAAGTAGCAGTGTAACAAGATTATATATATAAGAGTTTAGTCTTCTGTGTTTTTGTTACTGATTTTTGATTGCTCAGGAATTCTTGTGTTGTGGAGTTAAAAAATAGGAATGTTGCTTGTAGTTGTCAATATTAAGGTTTATTTCCATGTGGAAGAAACAAAATATTTAAAAAATTAAGTTGCATGCATTGTTAAATTTGTGGTAAATGTTACTCAATTTCAAGTTATTTAGAAAATGAATTTTATTTTTTCAAGAATTACGTATGTGATTATACATATATATATAGTTGTCAATTAATCTAAGTAAAATAATGATATTGACTATTACAGCTGTGTATGTTAGTAACACAAGGGGAAGATGAAAAGGTGTTTATAAGAATGTTTGCTTATACAGTGCTTTTTCAAACAATACAAACATCTTCATACTTAACTTAAAAGTGATGGCAGCTATAGCTTTATTTTTTTCTGGTGTGATTTATTTTTTAAACAATCCTACTATTATAATACATGCACACACCAGTTAGTGTTGAAATTCATTAGGCTACTGGTTTTACACACAGACATACACATTATGGTAGAATTTATAATACTGGCATTACATAACTTTTTTTTTTTGAACCCATGGCAGCAAAATCACTATTTTTGTAATTTTACCAATGTTTAACATCAATTCAATTATTTAATCATTCATCACACGACAAGCTAAGTCATTTTATTACACTCGATTTTCAAATCATATGTCCCACTTTCAGGAGAAATCTTGTTGTCCCTGTGTTTTAAGGCTTGTTACATTTTTTACTCTATCTGTTGAATACTACTTTATTGATGGAAGAACAGATTTTTATTATAGCCACTTATATTGTTTTGTTTCAACTTTGACCAAATTAATGGAAGGGAGTTAAAATAAGAAGTACGATTATAATTATAAATGCGTTCTTAGGTAAAACTTAGTTCATAGTTTACCATGTTATCAGATTAGTGTAAGATATTTAGTGCTGGGCAATTGTCAGTTTTGAAATTGATTCAGTATTTTTAATTAATCCAAATTACAGATTATTCTAATTAGATCATTAAAAAATGACAAACCAAGTTCATCTATTAATAATGGTGCACTGCCTATTGACAAAACTAGGGTGAAGTGTTATAACAATGAAAAAAACAACAACAAAAAACAGATGACTTGGTGTCCATTAACTCAATAAATATTAGAAGACATAATATAAGATAGAATAGTAATCTAAAAATTGTTATATTAATCAATAAAAAATGGTAATTTGTTTCCTGCTTAAAATTGGATACTCTTGTGCAAGTATTTTCACACTGATTCTAACAATGTGACAATTAATGTTGTTATGAAACTGCTTGATATGCATTATGGGCGATGTATTTTGAAGTGGAGAGGATGTCTCTGTGCTTTTGTCACTTAAAGGCTCCCTCAGAACTAAAAATCCCAGGGTGATCTGATATGCAAGTTCTTACCATGCAGTCAATTAACCCAACCCACTGATGTTGCCTGGAATAAAGTTAACAGAAAAAGAGAATACCATTTAAAAGTTATTAATGTAATGTATTTATTTAACATTTCTTATTTTTTTTTAGTACAAGGTTCAACATTAAGAAGATACAGAACATTTGTTTTCATTTTCTGCAAACCCTTTATATTTGGGATAAGATAATGATGAGAGCAATGACTCTGAATTCTTCTCTGTGAGTGAACACCCCCCCAACAGCACTCAGTTCTTATGTACTTATCAAATGAAATGTATTAAGTAATAATATAAATTTGGTTTGATGTTTATTTTCATAATTGAAAACTAATTGGAATTTCGATTAATTGTTCAGCACTAATGACCAAACTGAGATAACTGAAAACTACATTATTAAAAACCTTTGGTTTCCACTGTTTGTTTTGTTGAATAAAAGTGGTCATGAACAATAACTTATCATTAATCATTATAGAAAACTACATTTCTGTACAATTCCTTTTCATAAATACCATCAGTGAATATTAGTTTTACATTTGGAAGATTAAGCTTGTTTATGTGATATGGAGTATATGTCTACTTCAATGGCATGTAGATTATGGTTGAAACTGATTATAATTTTAGGTACCTTAGAAGAAAAAAAGGCGTTTAATAGACAAGAATTGGTTTGTTGGTGTGCCAAACGAAGAGAGAAGTGATGGAATAATTAGCAATTCCTGTAGACTTCCATTAAACTGGTTACCTTCATGTACACTTTATTGTGATAATAGTAAACCTTTGGGGATGTAGATTTGGGTTTTGGGTAGCTTATTTTTGTGCAACGTTTTTAAGGTGAAGGTATTTGCATGTTAATTGTTCTTGTCCTGTAAATGAAAGCTATTTTTTAAAGTCTTTGCAATCAATATTTTGGTAGTTATATCTCAAGTGTACATAATATCAATCACTGGCCATAAAAAAAGACAAGAAAATTAAGAAGTGTCTTTCACTGTTACATATTCCATATGTAAATAAACAGATTATAATAACTGTGTTCAGCAGTTCTTGTTTTGTTTTCATAGTAAAAATGGAAGATGGTGTTTAAAAACAATCTATGTACTGTATCAGTATTAGACTGAATACTGATTTTTTTTTTGCTATTTCATAAATCTAGAAGTACAAATATTTTGTATTTAAACAAGATCCCAGAAAGACAAAAATTATAATCATTGTTTTTTTTTAGATCTACTACAGACCCAGGAGGACTGAATATTAAACACTTAGAATCAAATGCTTATATTGCTGACTTAGATATATAGTCAAGGAATAACTAGGCAGATAAGGTATACACACATATCAAATTAAATAAACCTCTGACTACACATTAGAGCTGGATGATCAGTGTAGTTTTATAATCAGTTAATCACTGGGCTCATAAAGGGCACGCGAGACTTGGATAGGTGGATGAATTGAAAATAATAGTAATTTGAAACACAAATTTCAATTGTTTTCATTGGTTACAGCAATGATTAAGTTGAAAAACCTTGAATTATTCAAAAATAATGCAAATTCAAAAAAGCAATATTTCAATTACTTGTATAAGTGGAATAATCAAAAACAGTAATAATTGGAAACACTAATTTTTTATATTTTATATGACACTACTCAGTGTAATTGATGGTAATAGGTAATCAATTATAACAATTAATGAAGTTGGTTACTAAAAATATGGGTAAGAATTAACTTGACAGATCAAATTACATAAATATCTGACTAAATTTATGGGAAAGAAATAACTTGATAGATGAGGTATATAAACAGATCAAATCACATAAACTTCTGACTAAACTTATTGGAAAGAACAGCTTGACTGTTGAGGTATATATTCTGATCAAATGTGTAAATGTGCAAAAAATGAGTTGAATATAACTTGGCTTTACTAACTTTATGACAATACATCAAATTTTATTTGGTAAGAAGAACTCATATTTTTAAAATCATCTGTCAGCTGCAAAAATTAGAGAATGCCAGCTAGGATTTTTATTTCAAACTAATGTACTAATTGTATCTACTCAATGAATTTATAAGAGAATGAGTTGTTCAGTCACAAAATATTTTACTCGAATCAACTGTGTGATTTACAGCACTTCTATTTTATTTTTTAAAATGTGTATACATTGTTTATTCACAGATATTTTTGACCACTGGAGCACAAACTTCTCACAAACTTACTGACTAATGTAATGTGAAGGTTTTCCTAAAGTTATCTATTCTAACTTAATATTTTTTACATGAATAAACAAGAATTATCAACAACCCTTTAGACATTTATCATCAGGACAAAAAATCCACATGAACTTATTAAGGCAAAGCAATGAGAGATAAGGAATCTTCATATAAAACGGTTTGAATTCATGAGTATCAAGAGCTATCTTTTAACTGGCAGCTGTGATTGAAAAACTAACATACCATTAATTACATAATTTACACAAACAAATTATACACATAGTATGTCACATCACAATTAAAAATGAATGAATACACTACAAATAGATATGTTACAAAATGTGTGGGAATTATCATGAGTGGTAAGTTACTTCAATAACTTTACAGTTACTTACTAGAAACAATATCTCCAAAATCTCGCTAGTTTCTACCAATACATTTTAAGAGAAAAATTTATTTTTCTGTAAGAAATACTTCATTTCTGCAGCAAATGCTACTGTATACAAAACAACCTGAACAATAGATTACACAATTTGAGCTCTGTAGGATGAAGCAAGATTAAAAACTGTACATGCCTACATATGTACAAAAAAGATTATAGTTTCTTAAATATTTCAGTGTTTTTTTAAAGGCACACAGACAAAATGAGGGTCTATGGTTCAAGTAAAATGCCATCTAGTGAGGAGTATAGAAAGCTTTTATTAGACGTTATCTATGATTTACAAAATAAAATTTTGCCCTTAGAGAAAAAAAAAGGGGGGTGTGTGTAAATGATACTACTGATTTTAACCCAAAGGTTTCGTAGATTACAGTGTGCCCTTAAAAAGACATGGGAGCAAAGTTGAAGAATTTAATGATCATTTGAAGTATCATGGGAAATGTTTTGGAATGCTACCTTACATTTCACATACACTTTCGAGATCACTAACTAACTCTTTCTCGAGTAAGTATAAAGTGCACAGGACTAAGAACCACTAATGAAAGTACTTGGCTCCTCACAAAGAAGGGACCATCCTTCAAGCCATCTTGAGCCATTTAGTTTACTTTTCTTTTAAGTTGCTGTATTTGGGTGTTGTTGATTCACATTGTTATCTTACTCAAAATTACTGAAATTCTTATATTACTGAATAGACTATGCCCAGTTTGGAAACATTCAGTTCTTCATAAATTACAAAACAACAACACATTTTGTTGTGACAAAGGTAGCAAAAAAAAAAGAACTGGAATAAAATTCAGAAAGCATGTGTTAATCATTCTCCTTTAATCCTGAACTTATCCAGAGTGATGTTAATAAATGGATAAAGTTTTGAAGCTTCCTTGAGATGAATGATTACAACAGTAGATTTCAGCAATTGTACTAAAATCTTAAATGTATTTGCCACAAGAGGACGGAAAACCAAACATCTACCGAAGATGAAATCAGTGTCCTGAAAGCTGTTTATCACAAAATTCAAGGCAACATTTTATAGAAGTAGGGATAAGTTCAGTTTCTCCCACTTAGTTTTAAATTAAACTTCAGTTGGTGCTTTAGAACAGACATGGATGTTAACTGATTTTCTTTTGAATCACAATACACTAGTTTTATACATAATTACATCATAACCATTAGCTGATGCATTTCCCCCAAGAAGCTTATCGTTAGCCAGGTCTTACAAAGTAAATTAACAGTGTATGGATTCCTGAGCTCAAAATTAAAATTACTTATTTCCCTCTGTACCATTACAGAAACTTGAAATGTGTGGTCGTTCATTAAAAATAACCTAAATTATACCATACAGCACAGTAGTAGAAGCTAAAAGAGTTTATAACATATAATCAATGAAAAATATTCTTCAGACATTTAGTTATTTTTCAAGTATTACAAAACAGTAAGAGGAGAATAGTTTAGTCCATTACAGTCTGAAAATAAATGTAACAAACAAATGCTACTGTAGCTTGATAAAAATCTGAAAATACAAAAATGGGTAACAAATGCTGAAACAACAAAGAAAATGGGTCTAGGTTTGGAGATGTCATGAAGATTGACCAAAATATTGTCAATTTTTTTTTTTTTATCTTACAAGGTTTTAATAATTTGCGTACTTACCTGTTGCAGTATGAGTTGAGTTTCAATTATCAATATGTTGTATAGCAAGTTGTAGCTGCAGCTCTAACAAGTTGATCTATTTAATGACTAGTCCATAGAAAAGAACAGACTAAAAAACTAATGTCTGTTTGTAGCTCAACAAGTTTATATTTTTGTATAAGCATTAAGAAGAGAAACAACAACACATATACATATTGCATATTACAAAAATAGTAAAAGATCTACACAAGGGTTTAAAACAAATAATAAATAAAATCTAAGCCACATCATGTAACTAGGTTGATACCATGAGGATACCATTGGATAATTAAGTTTAATATCCTGACCAGCTTTACAGTGGAAATGTTATTTTTTAAGCAACTACAACTGTACTGTTTTAGCTCATAGAAGTGGGCCATGTTCAGACAATGTACAACTAAAGATGTATGGTTAGGTAATATTACACTGCCTAAAGATGGCTAATCCTGTGAGATGAAATTTTGCAGACTTAATGACTTAAAAAAAAATTTCCACTGTAAAACTGATCACAATATTAATTTTAATACTAGCATCAGGTGAAAAAGAGGTAATAAATAATAAGTTATTCACATAAACAACCAGTTTTAAAAAACAATTGTTGCTCAGAGCTTATAAAATTTGGGGAAGTTGACTTCATTCACTAACTCCTTCATCAGTTAATTGCAACATATTCTTGAAATAATCAATCTAATGACAGTAGCTTCATTCTTAGTTATACACTCCTTTAAAATCAACATTAGCTAGATTTATCATTCAGTTATTAGTCACTCAAAATATTTTACTTGTATGTGATGTACTCACATTCTAGTTTTCTTTAAAATAAAACATTTAATAAACAACTGTTCTTTGCATTATGAATACCCAGTCTGTGTACTTGATTTTCAGTTATAAATTTCTTTAGATTATACTTAATAATAGTCAACCATATATAAGAAACAGTTGATCTCTTGAATATTCATTCAATCAGTATACACTGCCTTTATATTCAAACATCTTTGAAACAACAAAAAATATTAATAACCAGGTTTAACAACAACACAACATTTGATCATTGTACTGCACTTTCCCTGTCAATTACAAGAAAAACAAAAACATTATATATATATGTATATACATGTATATTTAACAATCAACTGAATGCCATTTGCTCAACATATTAGTCAATGTACAATAATTTAATTCATTGCTAGTTGCTAACTTCTTCAAAAAAAACAAACCATGATGTTTAACTATTTTTATGTTTGGTCTGTTATCCATACATTTCAGCAGTTAATTAAAAGACAGGGTTTTTTTTTTAGACTGTTCATACATACATCTTAATCTCTTTAATACACTATTGTGGTATATGTGTATATATTGTATATAATGAGGGTTTTATGTGGCAGATGCACCATCCATACTGGTAACACTTGTTCTACTAACTGCATGGTTGAGACTTCCACTACCCGAATCTTACAAGAAAAACAACATAAATAAATAAGTATTTGTAATCTAAACAACTTGTGAGTTTTGAGTTAGGTCTACTGAGAAACAAACTTGGTTTGTCAGGATGGTATGTCAGTACTAAATTAAGTTTAACACTGACCTACTATCACAGGGAGTTTGATTTCTTACAGGTATAATTCAAAACTGAAGCACTATGCTATATATATACAGGTTATTTTAAGTTCAACAAAGCTATGACAGTTTAATTATATTTACTAAAATATTTCAATGAAAGGTTTGGAAATTATTTTATTAACATTCCTTCCTATTAAATGTATAAAATTGATAAAGTGTTTTAGTTAAAATAATAAAATGTATGTGAATGTGATATTGTGTTGACTTTCATTTTGATATTTTGAAATATATTTTTCTCGGGTTTTCTATTATGTCTGTCTATACAGAGGACTGAGTTGAATACATTACATTAAAATGATTTTGAATATGTAAATAACATGACAATCACAACCAACATAAAGTCATAGGGGCAAAGAGCTGGGAGGGTCAGGGGGCTTGCACCCCCAATAATTTTTAAACAACAGGCTATGTAAAATGTATAGTTAAACATTATGATTACTGTGTTGATATTTTAAAGCCAAAGAAATATTATAGATGGTAGCATTACATTTGGCTGGTTTCTTACCTTAGTGAAACAAGACATTAATAATTTGTGTTCATTTGTAAAATCAAGGTACTATTGACTACGTTATGAATAATGTATTTTTTGCAAGAACTGTCTTTTGAAAAATTGAAAAAACTACTCAGAGATTATCTAATGTTATTTGTTTTTTTTGTTTTTTTAGCAAAAACCAGATAATGGTATGATTTGAAAATAATCATATATATATATATATATTATTTCAAATCATACCATTTCTAAGTACTTAAACTTATTTATATATTATAAGAATCTCTTAAATGTATTGTTTTTGTCAATAGGTAAAGTATAACATTTGTGTGCTATCTTCTTGGTTGTATTTAAATATGATATGTGTATAGACAATGATGCCTTAACATAACTGAAAAATGTTGTAAGTTATGGAAACACAAAAAGTACTCCTACAACCCTGAGTAATGGTGGAATGGCATGTATCAGATTTACATTTTTAAATTGTTTGGCATTTCGTAGGTAGTGTGATGTCACTGAAAATGGATCACTTTTAAGACAGGTAGATACAGCAGTTTCTGATGCAAAATATTCCTATATTCAGATCATAAAGATGTTTTAAAATCTAAGATTTAGAAATTGTGAGAAGGGGATATCAAAGAAATATCAATTAACTCGAGACAACTAGACTATCCCAGGCAACAACACATAACATAATCTCCATGTGGAAATGAGGTCAGCAGCGTATGGATTCACCAAGCTAAGTATTCCATTCATATCTCGCATTCAACCACCACATACCTCAAGCAGCTGGACATATCATTCAAGTCAATAGACACAGTGCCTACGAATTTCTGTGCAACTGAGCTGTTGAAATAGGTACTGGAAAATGGTCATCTTTGTACACTAGATGGATTGCAGAAAGCAATCAGTAAGAAGTGGTGTGTTTTGGACATGATAGTTTTCTGACACTTCAGAGCTATAGTAAAGATGGATGGCAATCAGATAGTGCATGCTCCAATGTGACAACATGGACTGTAATGACCTGGTGAGGCTCCAAACTAGTTTTAGTGTAATGTACTGAAACTCTGTATTTATATATTTGATTTAAAGAATTTTTAAACTATAAGATCCTACATTGGATATACATATACACATCATAAATTAATATTTTAAAAATGGCCCCCCAGTGGCTCAGTGGTATGTCTGCAAACTTGCAATGCTAAAAACTGGATTTTGATACTCGTGGTGGGCTCTGCACAGATAGTCCATTGTGTAGCTTTGTGGTTAACAACAAACAAAATTTTCGAAAAAGATTAGTTTCAATGCTAGTTATATGTATGTGTTTCCCTTTTTACCATTTCACAAAACTGTCAAGTTAAGCCAAGAATTTATTTTGCTCTCATCAATATTAGGTAAAATATCATAAGATCTGACCTTAATAGTAACAGCAGGTTTAACCTATTTTAATGTATCATAAAAACAGACTTTTTTGGTAAGTGTATATCTTATACAAATGTTGAGAATGACTGACTTCCTATACAAACTGCCCTAACTGATAATTATAAATATTCTTAAAATGCATATATTATGTATTAAATATATTGTTAAAAATATATTTGCTGTTTAATGACAAGTTGAATGCTACATAAGCACTGATAATATTAAAAGAGAAATAAGAAAGGAACAGGCTTACACTTTGAGGAGAAATGTTTTTGAATGAAAAATTATAAATGTGCCACCAATGTAACATATATAATAAATGTTATTCTTTTCTTACTACTCTTTTAATTACAAGCTTTTAGAAGTCCTCATGAAAATCTTGATTTTTATTTATCATACCTTGACTGCTGACTGAAGGAGTAGAGTGTGAACAATATTTTTCACTGAGCAGACCTAGGTAAGAAGCAGGCACCCAACCATGAGCTCCTGTTTCTGTGTCTCTCACATACCACCAACCAGCACACCCTACTCGCTCTACCATCACAATTTGTCCTTCAGTAAGAGAAGTTTCACTAACATCCACTGCCTCATAGTCTCCCAAGGCTTGGTAAGAAGTTCCAATCTATTTTATGAACACAAGTGATTTACTGGTTTCATCTAACTAATTGTGATATATTGTTAAGTATAAGCATAACCAAAAAGTATGAGAAATAATACTTTAAAAATAGTAAGTAGACTTGAAGTTAATGATTTTGAATTGTAATGCTACAATGCACAATGTTACAATTATGTCTTTAAGGAATAATGCAAAACATTAGGCCAACAATTCCAAACTGTACTTGAAGTGGTACAACATATCTACTATTCAAAGTACAGAAGTACAGTTTTTTAAAAATGTGTTTTCTAGTAAACAGGCATAAAAAAACAAGTGCAATACATGTAGATTACTAAAACATAATATACAAATATTATAGTCACAACCCTTCATAAAATAGAAAATGAATAAGTCTTTATGTAATCAATCAAAAACAAATTTTAATACAGGTCATTTGTAAGTTGTTGGTTACCTTTTCATAAAATTTGATGTTCTGCACAGGTAGAAAGACTCTGCTTTCCATTTTTTAATAATGAAATTGATCTTTGAAGTGTGTAGTATAGCATTCTACAAAGTCTTGGTACAGCTTGGTCTTGAATATATTTCCAAGAAAAGACAGTTCTTTGTCATTAGGATTCACCCTGTGACAGTCAATTATGGTTGCATTTTCAGTTGCCATAATAGTCAGAGAAGCTGGCCAAACTTAACAAGATACACACATTTCTTGTTGTTTTTTTAATATTTTAATAATAAAGCATTTTCTTTGTTTTCATAGTGAAACAATTTGTCTAGTCTCTGTTTCTTGTCCCCCAAAAGGTCAGTGGTAAGTTTACAGACTTACAATGCTAAAATCTGGGATTCAGTTCCCTGTGGTGTACAGAGTGCAGATAGCTTATTGTGTAGCTTAGCACTAAAATAAACGCATCAACATCAACTCTGTTTGTTTATGGTCAACTCTGAATTTTTCATGTATGTAAGTGATAAACTCTCAGTTTAAAGTTTTAATTTTCCTACACTGAAAATATATTTCTGGCAGGTACTTACTTCCACTTAAATACATAGCTATTATTATTCAGTGCTGCCCTCTACTTGCAAATTTTTTTTGCAGACCACAAGCTTTTTATTCCTTCAATATTCTATCAGTTCACATAGTTTAACTGATTCGGGCATGCAAATTATCATACATCAAACCTCCACCAATAGACATGCCTTACACACATAACTCATGTGACTTCCCCCTATGCTATTTTACCTAACTATCACTTCTCATTCGGCAGTGCTTGTGTTTTCTTTAGTGTTCTCTCAAATCGAATTTGAATTTTTATAGCATTTATTTCTAGCTTACAACCTATAATTTCCATCTTAATATTTTGTAGTGGTATTATTTCACTTTTGAAACCCAGTTACATAATTTAATTTTCCATGTTTGTCTTTCTTTACCAATACAATTGTGTTTAGTCTACACTATAAATTCCAAAATAAATGTTACCATCTTGGAGGTTGTACCTTCTACAAGCACATTTACTTAGGCTTTAGGTGGGGGTAACTTGGCTTTGTAATTATTGGCAATTACTCATTGAAAGGTTGATTGTTATTTGAATCAACCTTCCTCTCCTGATGTTGTCCATCTTCCTCCTGAACAAGATGAACCTCTTCAGGACAACAACAGTTTTGATAGCCTTTTTCCTCCACTTGATTTTGACGTGTGATCCACAGTTACTTCTGTCGACTCTGTTAGGCATAATAAGGCTTTTTGACAATGATCTCATAGGTATGTTCTGTTTAATCCCTTTCTCTGATTTCCTATAATCCTCTACCTTCCTTGTCACATGATATTCCTTCTTCTCAGTATTTTGTATTTCCAAAACAGATTGTTCTGTTCTTTTGTCCTATGTACAGTTTTCTTGCCTTCGTTTTATCCTCACGTCTATCCAACATCCTTGTCCACCTTCCACTTTCTCTCCAAGGCAATTCACTATGATCCTGAGGGTTTCTCGGGGGATATGTTTGCTCTAAATACTTCCTTGTTGGGATCTTTTGAGGAGAGATGTGGTTTTGTACCATGTTCGTTTACCATCTCCTTATCTTTTGGACTTACACCTCGCTCCTCTTCTCCATTGGTCAGTCATTAGAGATCTTCCAGTGACTTTGGAATCTCAGGTTGAATCTGTGAGGCAGTAATCGACCGTTTCTTTTTGGTTGATTGTTCATCTCGCACAGAGCCTCGACAGTTCCCTATGTCTGTTTCTGCCCTACTCCTTCTCAACCCTTACCTGTTCCTTCCACAAGGGAATCTTCTTCTTGTTGTTTTCTTCAGTATTGGTGACTACCCTGTGGATTCCGGTCCAGTGAGGGGCTCATCTATGGTGCATTTTTTGCCAGGGATCTATGGGTCCTTTAGGTTTTATCAGAGGGACTTGTCATCCATTTCCTCTCCTTTCCTTCATTGTCTCAGATACCTGTTTTCTTTCTATTGCCTTGAGATCCTCCTACATGTCAGCATTATGTACATGGCAGTGCAAGATCTTCTCTCTCAATATGCCAACCAACTTGTAGTTCACCCTTCTTCAGGGTTTTATTCCAGGCTGTTTGTGGTCCCCTAGAAAACCAGAGATTGGCAGCCAGTGATAGATTTTTCATTCTTCAATTGATTTTTGGTGCTACCTCGTTTTACCATGGAGTAATTTCTCACTCTCACACTGAGTAAAAATATTTAACTATTCTGTTTGTTTGTTTGGAATTAAACACAATGGGCTATCTGTGCTCTGCTCACAACGGGTATCAAAATACAGTTTCTAGTGTTGTAAGTCTGCAGACGAACACCTGTCCAACTGGGAGGATTAACTATTCTGAATATTATTGTGGTACACATTAATTATGTACTTATAGCTGGTATGTGGTTCATATAAAGATATATAACTAATTATTATGTACTTAAATATAACAATGTTCAGAAGAATTCCTAAGCACTGTGACAATCACCTATTTATTTTTCATTTTGATGTATACTGGTTGAAACTGACTTAGAATTTTAGGTGTCCCTAAGACACTCATGGCTAGATTTTGTAGTGTCTCAGTTCCTCTTCAAAAATTAATAATTATTAAAACAAAATTACAATTGCTCAAACAATTTTGAATGAGCTAATGTATGAACCTTAAAACTTTTTCAAAATTGCACTCAAGTGAAGTATGAAGAAATTCTGGGCATGTTAACTTACAGAAACCCATTTACACAAATTGGCTTTGGAGGTAAAGGTAGAATACTTAAAAATATTACTTATTATCTTCTCATTTATGTTACAAATTACTTTTACCACTAGTGCATAATTTGTATATATGCATGTAAATTAAGACTTTGGGCTATTTAAAATATCTTTAAATAAAATATGTAATTAATATACATTTAATGATTTTACAGGAAAGTTTGAGGTTTCAATTTTGATTTTAAAAATGTGGTTCAGCATTTTCTTGTGTTAAAACAGGTGACACTATGATTGTTACTTATAGTTCAAATATAAGATAATTGAAATCAATCATATAATAAATTATTCCAATAATGCTAAAGTGCTTGTATAAAAACAATGAAAATAATTCTATTATAAATATATATATAATAACGAGTTTGGTTTTGATACAATTCACCATGGCTTTTACAAAAAATGGTAAATAATAGGTGTGGTTCTGTTTTTAGAAGTGCTTTTAATGCATAGCATAGTTTCATGTCAATAACTTGTTTTCACATCCAGTAGAGATAATATACATTGAAGTTTTCACATTGTGTTAGTGTTAATGTGTGAATGATCCTGAAAAATGGCATTATTATTTAAATAATGTTAATGATGATATTTATATTACATGAAAAAAAAGAAATATAATAAATCATTAGACTGAAGACTAATTTCAATGATAATTAACAATAAAATATATTCTATTCTTCCGGGTTACCTACAGACATGACATAGTAGGTCTGAACTTAAATTGAAAATCTTAATTTCTCAGTCAGCCAGAAAATATGATTGGAAATGAGTTAGAAATCAATTATATATTTAACAAAAAATTTGTCTTGATATTTGAAAAATGAAACCTTGTTTTACCTCAGTTCTGCAAGCAAATACATCACTATCTTCATCTTCATCTTCAGTCTGTGAAAAGTCATCAGTTGACCATCCATCATCATGGCTTTCAGAGTGAGACATTCCATTTGTTCTATGTCCATGATAGTGTATAGTTGGAAGTGTGGCTCTTCGCTCTAATTCAGGAGGATGATGAATAGTTGGATGGTTATTTTCAGTGACCATTGGGCAGTTATCCCAGCTAAGGCTGCCAACAGTATTTTTAGACCTAAAAATAATAATATATTAAACCATTAAGCTATACTTAGCAGTGCAATATAAACATTTCTGATGTTAAAAAAGTTCAGATATATTAATTAAAAAAATGTCAGTTTCACTCATTAATTTATGTATGATTATCCCAGTATCAAATAAGGATTTCAGATAATTAAAACTTCTTTATCAACACATAAAACCTCAAAGTTTAGTTCCTGATAATTTTTGGAAACCATTATTGACTATTAATGTGTTAACTATAAAGTGATATTTAAAGTCAGTGTCCTAAGTATACCAAAGCACCCCATAAAACCATCTTGTGCTAAGTGATGCTTCTTCTGTTTGAAATTACTTAAGTCATCAGTCTACTTTCTTGACAATCATATAGTATCTATAAGATTCTGTCCCATAAGAAGTTTTTCTTTGTTATATTTTATCATGCGTGAAATTTTTTTGCAAAAATAATTTCCATCAAAATAATCTTTGATGAAATGATGAGAAAAAGTAGTTTTAACCAAAAGGACTTTAAATATCTCTCAAACATCTTAGTGCATAGAGTTATATTAATTTGTGTATTAAAAACAGTCTTATGATTTTAAGATACTTTGACAGCTAAATTATTATAGATAAAAGAATGTTAAAAGGAGTTCACAATGTTGGTAATAGGTGTTAATTAGCAGTCAGTGCTATAATATGAAGTTAAATAAATTTAATTTTGTTATTGTCAAAGTATAACATACAATCACAATGCACAGCTGACAAAAATCAAAGACATAGAAAAATTACCTATGAAGAGCACCTGGAACTGTTTTTCTTGTTTTAGTAAATAAACTTGGAACTTTGTCTGTATTTTTCTTACTTTCATCTACAGTAAAAGAAAAGAAGCTTTGATACATCATCATGTACAGAAATTTCTATAAGTTACTCAGATTTAATTATATTACATCTCGTTTTCAACTTCAACTCCTTTCTAAATTTAGAAAGTCCACGTTGCTATTGTATTATCTAAAATTTCAGTTTTAGGAAAAACATGCAATTGATATTAAGATTGGGTGTCATAAATATATAAAACTAAATAATGTTTAATGAACTTGTATATTACTTGTAGCATTACAGATAATATGCATTTGGTGTTTTTAAAGTACATATATTTTTCCTTTTGAATACATTAAAAGTTAACATTTTCCTACACTGAAAATGTATTTGCAATAGATACTTACCTCCTCTCATATAATAGATTTTCTTGATTTGTGCTGCCCACTATATGTCCAATTTTCGCTCGCCACTGGCTTTGATGATACCACCCACCATTACACCTTTACATCTGTAAAATGCAAATGTGCATGCTACCACCCTCTACCAATAGGAGTGTGACACCCTCCTAGCACAGCTAACCCCCTTTATACTGTATAATCCTATAATCACTTCAAGGTTATGCAAGAAAAAACAAAATTGCATTGGAAGGGGGAAGGATGGGTGGGAAGTGTTAGAGAGGTAAATATCTATCAGAAATACATTTTCAGTATAGGAAAATGTTAACTTCCGATACAATACACCCCAAGATGAATAAAATACTGAGTGGATGCAAGATTTGACTTTTACAGTTTCACAAGCCACCCCAAACGAGCTGCCTCCTGAAGGAGAAGATGGGTATTTTTGTGAGAGGCTTGCTGGGTAGGAGCCAATTATCCACGTAATGGTCAAACTGCATTCCCAGGTCATAAATATGATAGGCAAAGGCTCTGATTATGTGACAGAAGACTTGGATCCAATGCCAAACTGAATAGTAGATTGTGAAATTGAAACATCCAATCCCCATGAATAAACCGAAGGTAATAGCTGGATGCAGGAAAAATAGGGATATGAAGGTCAGCATCCAAGATGTCGACCTTGGTCATTCAAAGACCTGGTGTGAATGACCATTTGAGGTCGAGAAAAGACTCTATGGTGAATCACAGGAGGTTAATGAAGCAGTTGATGTTTGAGGGAACAATAATAAAATGCCAATAGTGAACAGATGGGAATAAAATTCTGGAGAAGGCGAAACACTTGTTTGATAGCCTCCTTCTGCATAAGATCCAAAACCACCTTGGTGAGACACTGGCTAGAATATGAATTTCGGAGAGGAGGGTAAGAAAAGGAAAATGAAACTGGAGATAATGGCGGAGGAGTGGAAAAACGAAGAAACAGTCCTTCCGCTAGCACTTGAAGAACCCAAGAACCTGCAGCAAAAGGATGCCACAGATGAGCAAGGGGCAATTCACGACAATACTGACATTGGAAAAAGCGACAATGGGCGATCTGTAAACTTGAAACGGAAACACTGGAAGTTGATACAGGGAGACAAGAGGATGCTGGAGAGTGAGAAACAGGAATAGGAACAAAAGATGATTGGGAAAGACACGAAACAAGAGAAGAAAGAGAGGAATGTTTGTATGCCACCTCCACATGAGACTAAAGTATCAGGGACATCTCGAAAAACAGACTGGCACAAAAAAGGAGCTAGGCAAAGGTCACGTAGATAAGAAGCAGGCAAATGCACACGCGACAAAAGGGTATCACTGCCAAGAAGATCCCAACAATAAAACACATATAAGATAAACGAGCCAATGTAGAGAAAAGAAAGGAATGCATATGCTCTGATACATCCTCAAGGGAATGGTGGATAGCTTCAAAAAGAAGATGGACAGATGAAAGATTATGTAGGGTACTCATTATGGTAAGACAAAGACGAGAGAAATGAGCAGGGGAAAAACAAAGGGTAGCTGAAGGATCAGAGCCCCATGCCTGAATCAGTAATTCTAAGGTCTGAGAATCATGAAATGGAAACTCCAACCTATGGTAAGCCAAAGCATGCAAATCTGTCAAACATGGGAGTTTAGGCATGCTGGCACCTGTATGGTTTGGGTAAGGAATTGCTCAGCATGAAAACTAATAACTAGGCAAACCTGAGAAATCATGTCCAGTTAGTATGAGGGAGATCAACAGGGTAGACTGAGAAGGAGCTACAAAATCAGGAGGTGGAAAAAGCAGTCCAAGTTTTCATCCTCAGAAACAGTTTCCCCAGGAAACGGGAGATCTGACCATGGCTCAAGACCATGACACACCAAGGCCGAGACCTTTTCTGCCAAAAGTGTGAAGCCACAGTAATGTTAAGTGTGGTAGGATCCATACTAGAAGTTGTAGTTGTTACATAAAACTAAGTTTATAGTGGGGAAAAAGAAAGAAAAACTTTCCACACAAAAAATTTACAACAAATTTAAAGTTGTCAAAAAATTAGCTAAATTGTTAAACACACAAACAACATGTATTGAGCAATAATCGTTTATGACTGCACACGTGACTGCCAAATCGAGAAGTAATGATAGTGCTCTACATTAGAGGGAGTCAGCTGTGCTAGAGAATACATCACTTGCTCATTTCCATGCTACAGTTCAGCTATGCCACATGTATATACATGATGGTAGGTAGGAGCATCAAGGCTATTCGTGAACGAAAACTGCACATGTAGAAGGCAGCACAAATCAAGGAGAGCTATTATGCTAGAGGAGGTAAGATATGGTATTGGAAGTTGTCTATTAATTACATTGTTCAAAATACATATAAATTTTGATACTTCTAAGAGCACATTTCAAAATAAGTCACTGAAGATGGCATTTGCATTACTGTATTATACATCTACTTTTTCAGTCTAAGTAAATATAAACAACAACCTTTTAGATCTTCAAACTGTTGCAACAATACTTTCTTGATGGCCTTCACCCACGTGTTTTTAACTTCCACAGTTGGAGCCTAAAAACATTTAAGGAAACATTATTTAATTAAGAAAAGAGAATATTCATAAACAATAAAATAATCAATAAATAAATAAATAAAGTATAATAGTTTAAAAAACTGCATAATAAAAAAATACTGATTACACTAATGAATAAGTTTCATAGAACAAATCAATTTTTAACCCAAATAGTAAAGTACCTTCAATTAATGTTCCAGTCAGACAGATGCTTTTCATCTTTGTTTGTTAAGACTAGTAGACTTCACTTTCTATAATGTTAAGTAACTGTATACTTAGAGCTCTGAATTTACTATAAAAGATTAAAATAATTTGATTTAGTTTCATATCAATTTTATGAAAAGCTAATGCACATGCCATTCAAATCTAAAATACAATGCATAAGAAAAAAAAAAGCACAGCTACAAGTGATTCACTTATTTTTCTTTTTCTGGAAGTCAAGAAAAAAAAGGCACAGAAATTAGAATTTCTTCTGGTATTACTTATAAAGATATATTTGTTCAGAGACTTACACTAGTTCCTTTAAATTACAGAATCATATCAAGAAAATAAACAATAAAATTATAACCAATGCAAACTTCAATGTCCTGCTATTCAATGTATTTCCACTAACCTGAATAATAAAAACTTGTGTTCTCCCATGTAACCAGACCTCAAACTTCCTGCTGTCTCCTCGGGAACCCTTGAGAGTTTCTGTTAAACCAATCTGAGAGGTCTGCATGTAATGAAAAACATAATATGGAGAACATCCAAAGACGATAAAGCATCATACTTGACTTGAATTACTACATCACTTCTGATGTTTTAAATTACAAGATTTGGTGAATCTTAAAATAAAATCACCACTAAAAGTCATTCAAGATATAAATTAAGCTCACCTAAGCTAAGTATATAGAATAATTTTGAGGAATAATACATTTTTTCATCATTCTAAAAACTTCATATACTCATTGCTCTTAATTTTATTAATTGAGTACATAAAGAATAACTCTGGTTAATGAGTACTTTCTTAATTAGATAAACAATGATCAAGTACAGATGTTGCCAATAACTGTATTGTAAATTAAGGTGTATTGAGGTGTTACCTCAAGAGTAGTAATATATATTACCATGAATAATGAATTACCCATACTGGGTATCTAATTCCTCATGGCGGGCTTTTCGGCAGTATCTGTAAAATTCTAGCCCAATAAGAATCACTATTCGATGACGAGGAACCCACTTTGAGACTAATAATGGTTGGAGATGGCTTGAATGGGTAATGAAGAAAAA